TTTTATTTTTATTTTTATTTTGTCAATATACAATGTAGTTAGTTATTGTGTCCCATCACCAAAACCTCCCTCCCTCCCCCCTTTCCCCCCTCCTACCCAGCACAGATTATTTTTTAAACTTCCTGAAAGCTGATGAAAATTTACTGATGAAAAATACAATAAGAATTGCTATGCGGTCACACTGAGTGACTCAGGGAATGACATCCAGTGTTATTTTATGGGAGTGAATGCTTGTATCTAGTGACGTTAACCTTAAAAGATTAGATGTGTAGCTGTGAGGTAATAAGTTTAGCTAAATGGTTTTTATGTTCTATTAGTATTGCCACACCATGCTTTACTATTTGCTGTGAGAAATACAACTTTTCAAAAATTTATCTTTGCCTCTTTAAATTCCTACATTTCACAATTTGGTGAGTAAGTACATGTGTACTTTATTTGTACTGCTCCTAGTTTAATGGTTTTGTTATTATTCTCTCTTAGTCATCTTTCAGACTTGAAGAATCATATATACCTTAGAATTTTAGCTCATTCTTCCAATTATGCTGTGATCGCAGACAGTATAGTTCAACTCTGAGTTCAGTTACCTTTTCTCCGTAGTAGGGATTTAAAATTGCTGTCTTGAAGGGATGTTGTGGGGAATAAGACATTGAACAAAGATATAATATCTCCTGGCATAGTGCCTGAAACAGTAGTCAATAAATATGTTATTATTAAGAGGATATACAAGTTTGCTAGTATTCATTCATTCAGCATATATTCACTGCATTCCTATGATGTGCTGGGTATTATCTGAGGTCAGTAAACCAAAAATAGACCTCTGCCCTTGTTGGGCTTGCAGGTTTTAGAGGACTTATATTTTGTACTTTAATATTATTATTCTATTTCAAAATTTGGATTGGTGTATTACTCAAGGTTCTCCAGAGAAACAGAACCAGTAGGGTATGTGGGTGGGAGTGTGTGTGTGTGTGAGAGAGTTTGGTTTATTTTAAGGAGTTGGCTCATGTGGTGTGGAAGCTGGCAAGTCCAAAATCTGCAGGGTAGGCCAGCAGACTGAAGACATAGGAGAGAGTTGGAGTTAAAGTCTAAAGGCAGTCTGTTGGCAGAATTCTCTCTTGGAGGAGGTCAGTCTTTTTCTTAAGGCCTTCAAGTGGTTAAGTGAGGCCTACCCACATTATGGAGGGCAACCTGCTTTTCTAGAGTCTACTGATGTAAATGTTATCTCTTTCAGCCTTCACAGAAGCATCTAGAAAAGCATTTGACCAACTTGGCCCAGCCAAGTTGACACATAAAATTAACCACAATTGGGCAAAATAATTTTTCAGAGGGAGAAAGATTGTGGAAAGTTTAGTGATACTACTAAAATGTAAAGGTATGAGTACAGTGGCTAATCAAAATTTTACCAGTTTTTTGGTTTTTTTGGCTGGCTCATGGATCCCAACAACTATACCGATTTCTTAAGATCTACTTTCCCTGTTCACTGGTGGTAGACCTGCTCTTAGGCCCTTTAAATGGACTCTGTCCTCAAACCTGCTCTTCCTGTGCACATTCATTTACTCATTCATTCAATATTTGAGCATCTCCTGTGCACTCTACACTGTGCTAGGTACTAGGTATATACTAAGGAACCAAATAGATAAAGTCTCTGCCCTAACTTAATCTAGAGGGGGAGATGGACAAACATGGAACCTTAAATACATAATCATAAACAGAGTATGATGAATAACCAGGGGACCTAATGTAAATTGGGGGAGGGGAGAGTCATTGAAGATTTGTTTGCTAACATGATGTTTAAGTTGAGATCTGAAAGACAAATAGATGAAGAGTGGGAGAAAGAAACTAAAACTTCAGACAGAAGGGAGAAAGAAACTAAAACTTCAGACAGAAGGAACATAAACCATAAGACCCCATGGGAGCCAATATCTTGACATTTTATAGAATTAAAGCTATGTGACCTTAAGGATTTGGGGTAAGAGGGAAAGTGGTATGAGAATATTTTGATGGAGTAGGTGGGAGCCACATCATGGGTGGACTTATAGACCATGTAATGGATGTTTGAAATTTTATTGTAAGTACAATCAGGACCTGATTTTGGGAAGACAACCCAAGTAATGTAAGCTTATGAAAATAAATGTGATAAGTGAATCATGTTTACCTTGAGGCACAAAAGTAAGATAGCATGGTCCTTATTTCAGCTGCCTGTGCAAGAAATTAACATGAAGAGATAATATCCATTCACATGAAGAGATATATCCATATGTTGATGAGATTATGTCCATTTTAAGAATAAGCTGGGAGTCAGCCTTGACTGTCTTTTTCTTTATTGTAGCTTTAATCTTTATAGTCTAACTGATTTCACATTTTTAACTTCTCTTACATTGACTATCACTTTCCATCCAGCTTCAGCTTCACCTCTTAACAACTCCTAACTGTCCTCCTCACGATGCTGCAGTTATATTTAACTACAGTACTCATGTTTTCATGCCCCTATCCTTCCAATACATGAGCTTTTCAGATTGCCTCCAGCCTTTACATAGAGAATTACTATTTGTAGCATGCTTTTACCCTTCTTCCCTTTACCTCTCCAATTTCCATTTTGGTTTGGGTAATTTTTACTCACTCCTATTCCTCTCTCCAGTCTCAGATTAAATGTGTCCTTTGGGGTACTCGTCCAGCCCCCACGTTCCCATGACATCCCCAGCTTATTCTTAAAATGGATATAATCTCTTCAATATACTGCCTACTTCTGGTTCACTCTTCTAGGTTGCACCCTGTGAGGTCCCAACTCAAATCAAAGGAGGTTCACCCATTCGCCTTATTTCTTCCCTCCCCATCCTTCCCCAGTTGACTCTGGACTCCAATCTCTATCCCCCTAGCCCTGAGAGACTATCAAAAGCATTTCTCAGCCATTTCTTCCAGAATCGACAAAAACAGGACTTACGTCTCTCTTTTTGTTCCTTTTTTTTTTTTTTGGACCGGTAAGGGAATCACGACACCAGCGCTGCACTCTCCTGAGTGAGCCATGGGGCTGGCCTCCCTTTTGTTTTTTCACTGGAACTATATTTTCTCAAAATGTTGCAAACCAGTTACAGTAAACAGAATGGCATCCATCAAGGAAAACTGTCACTCTGGGCTCCTTTTCGACCACAGCTGCTATGTGGAAGCAACTGCAGTTTTGACTAGCGCCACCTTACCTCTGATCTCTTGTATTTCACCAGCTTCGGGCCTGGTAAGTATTCAATATCTTGTAGTTCTTTCTCACCTTCAGGGAGATGTTTGCATATTTTGTTCTACTTGTCTAGTTGATCAGCAGAAATACTAAGGTAATTCAAACAGTTTGTGGAAATATTTGCTTTATCTTTTAATTCTATTTTTCATGAAATGTTTGAAGTACTCTTGTAATGGTCTTACCGACCTCTTCTGCCACTATCAGCAGTGGGAGTGCTCTACATGATCTGGTTTTCCAGATTTTGATGTATTTAATCTATTTTTAAAATTACGGTAAAAGGGGCCGGCCCGGTGGCGCACTGGATAAGTGTGCCGCTTGGGAAGCGCGGCGGCGCTCCCGCCCGAGGGTTCGGATCCCACATGCAGACCGGTTCCTGCTCACTGGCTGAGCAAGGTGCGGGAGCGACGCCGAGGGTTGCGGTCCCATTGCCAGTCCCTGGTCCGGTGCGGGGGCGACACTGAGGGTTGCGATCCGTTGCCGGACATGGAAAAAGACAAAAAAATAATTTAAGAATTCTTTTTTAAATTTGGTGATATTTTATTTTCAATTCTATTTATAATTAGCTTTGTGGGATACAGTGTGTTGTTTCAAATACTTAGGGAATAAAAAAAACAAAAATAAAATTACGGTAAAAGTAAATGAATGGCTCTCTCTATATAAAATAAACAGAAAATCTAAATTAAGGTTTAAAAAATCTTTTAATTGAAGTATAACATACATAGAAGTGCACAAGTTGTAA